TATTAATTATAAATATGATATAGAAAATATTTCTGCTAAAGACATTTTGGGGTATCTCTAACATTTTCTAAGTATCATTTTAGATCATAATTATTATTATCATAATTATAACAATATTATAATTATTAAATTTCCAAAAACTTGTATTAATGTGCATGTGTGTGTATTCACATTCACAGTATTGTATACATAATACAATTTTCCACTTCTCCAAGTAGGTTTTGAAATTTTGTCAGTAAAAAACTTTGAGACTTCATATAACTTGATGTTTTAGCATTCTTTGTGAATCAAATCAGGAAAAAATAATTTTTTTCATCATCAGGAATCTTTCGTTGTTGTTTATGCAAAATACTACAAAGTTTTAATGTTTCATATGAAGCTAAAACAAAATATAATCAAATATCTAAAGGCAAACAATGGTACCTACTCTTACCTTTTGTAATATGTACTCTCTATCGTGAAATTTCAGTGCTTTGTTGAGGTTTTCAAGTTCTAGCATGAAGAAGTTAATCAAATGCTGTGAGGTGCTCCAATTTCAAGGTCTTAGATGGTTGGAGCCTAAGAAACTTACAGGCGACTCCTCACAGGAAAACACTATTTCAGAAGAGTGGCAAACTACATTTTGATATTGCTTTGGTTTTGATTGGAAAAGCATACTTCACATCATTACAGGAGAATCAGAAAATGATTGGATGACTTCTATTTCTTTAATAACAAATGGGAAAACAAGAAATTATTTTTGATTAGCTTAAGAGTAGTGGTGGCCCCAAGTACTGACTGCAGCTTGGAAATCATTGTATTAGAAACATCCTGTTTCACAGTGGAATTCTGAAGGCCTAAGGGAATCACCACGATTTTTGGATTAGAAAGTATATGAAGAAATACTGGAAAGATATATTGAACTTTAGTTACAGAATTTTCTAATGTCATAATAATTACCTCAATTTATATAGCTTTATGCATTCTGAAGAAGATTTCGGCGTTAAGTTGTCTTTAATTTGCCCTTTGAAAGTTCATGTTGATTTTTATTAAAATGAGTTTTGTTTAGTGCCATGCTTTACATATTGTAGCTAAATATGAATAGTCAATCCCACCTACTTTATAGAAAGAAGTGTAGATATCCCTTTTACAGCTTCCAGGAGGTGAATTTTTATTCGACTCGCCAAGTTTACACAAGAGCGTGTATATGCTTGCCCAGCCTGAAGATACCCTCTGCTCTGCAGACACCAAAGAAGAAAAATTCTCAAATTCTTTAGGAGGCAGCTTTGGGGATTTTTAATTTATTTTAGGGTGTTTAAATATTTCTTCATTGCTGATTTAACAAAAATTAAACTTAAATATACCTCTGCTGGAGACATATTGATAACTTCTGTTTTCATTTTTTTTTTTAAAGTACGCATTAACTGTGCTTGGGCTTAGTCATTTAGGAAGGAAACAGAAGTCCTGCCTTTAAGCTCATTAGTTTAAGGTCTTCCGTATGTGGCTCCTGCTTTCTTTCGTGGTAGGAATGCTCTGGAACACGAGGCTTTACAGCACTATGAGAAGGAGAACGGAGGGCTGTAGGTTTCTGCACAGGCCTCCTGGGAGCAGCAGGCTGCTGTGTGTCAGCGTTCACACCTGCATGAGCAGTGAAGGCTGCCTTAAACAATGCTGATCAACTCCATTCTATTCTTTACCTCCCTGCCCCCTTCTCTTCCTGGGGAATCTGGCTTTCCTGTCACTCAGGATAACGATTTCCTGCAAGCATCACCAAGATCCAGAAAGTCACTGTAATCTCATCAGGAGTGTGATTTCCCAGCTGGGACTGTTGAATTTATATAACCCGAAGATAGCTGGTCAGGGTGCTTAATCCTCCCGGCAGGTGTGTTGAGCCCCATTTGAAATAAAATTCCATTTGAAATAAAATTCCTGTAACAAAGATGACCTCATTAGTTAACACAATTAGAGAAGATAGGTCCCCAGATAAGTGCAGACTTTATCAAAAACCTATAATTTAACCAATATTTTATGTATGAAAGCAATGTTGCTTTCCCCATCGTGACCAAAAAGAACTCAGTCCAGGTGTAAAGTAAATTTCCAGTGAATTTTCATGAGCCCAGTGAAAATTGGGCAGGAGGTTGAGCATACTTCTTCTGCCCTGTGTGGCCTGTGGGACACTAAGGAGTTTTGTTACTTTTTCAACCCTGAAATAAAATTTAGAGAAACCTCACTTCAAGCTTGTGGTGAATGCCTTGATAATTTGTTCTAATTACTGCACTAGTAGATTTCCTGTTTTCTCACACATTTTAAGTGATTTCCCAGCAAATCATTTTTAGGCTTCATGACCTCAAAAATCTTAATATAAGGGAGAAATATTTTTTAAAAGATGATTCTCTGCTTATCTTCATCCTTCCCCCGCAGCAGTGGACTATATCTTTACATATGGAGATACATACTGGCCTCAATGTACGCATAATAATATGCAAACATCACAGTGCTTTATTTTGTGACAGTTTGAATTAGTAAAGGAAATCAGCTCTCTGCTTTTCTCATATTTGCATTATCTAATTAATTTTTGGTGCTAATAAGCACCAAAAACTGATTATCTTTCTCCTCACAACCATGACCTTTGATCTCAGGTGGAATTTTATGAAGCTTGCTTTCTCTAAATATTGCAAATAAAATTTAGTAATGAAAAGGGGCACAGGAAGAGCAAAGAGTTGGAAAAGGATTTTCAAAATGTATCCAAGACATAAGGAGTTCACCTCATTTAAAAAATGTACTCCATACATTTTTCTGTTTATCTTCATAAACATATATGTTTATCAAGATACAAGATTATCTAAGTATATATACTTACAGTCTTGTTTCCAGTTGGCATCTGAAAGTAAATTGGCATCTCTATGTCATATTCTATACATGTAAATGTGAATATATATGAATATATATGCACATGTTTATTTTTCATATGTGAATCTGTAATTGCATGGATATGTTTGGATCTAACTTATCTTGTTAAAAATGACTACATTTATATAAGTATGCATACTTATATAAAATTTATTCTTAGTTGGCATCAGGCAGCAAGCTTAGCATCTGGTATGAACGTCTAAGTTTTCATTTACTGCTTGTGTGTGTGTGTGAGTGTGTGTGTGTGTGTGTGTGTAAAGCATGAATATTAGAATGAGTATGTTTCTTATTGCTTCATATACTTCCTTTAATAATGACTAAGTAAATGTAATGAACACATACAATTATATTTATCATTCAAAAGTTAGTTTTCAAAAGTGGTAAAGGGGTTTTTCTCATCAAGCAAATCAAATGACGGGGATTCAGATACTCATAGTGAGCTGGAGAGAAGAAAACATTATTCCATGAGGAGTAAAGAGTAAAATATTAATGATTACTACTTATATGGGAATAATAAACTTTCTTGCTTGCATCTTTTAGAGAATACTTCACAAGTTCAATACTTTTGCATATACATTATACAAACTTGCATTACAATCATTAGTTTTGGGTGCCTGGGCTGCCTCAGTTTGGAGAGCAGGAGATTCTGATCTTGGGGTCATGATTTCGAGGCTCACATTGGGAGGACAGTTTACTTTAAAAAAAAATAATTAGTTCTTATACTTTCTTTGGAAATCTATTGTGTTGACTGTGAGGACAAATTTTTAAAAATTCTAGTGCAAATAGTGAAAAATGTCTTTGCTTTCAAAAGTTTTTTTTTTTTTCATTTAAATTTCAGTGGACATCTTAACCAACTAATACACTTTTATTTTTAGATGACATTGTTACAGTAGCACTGTGTCAACCAGATAAGTCAAATGTGAGAAAGTAAATAAAAGCCTCAATTATTAAAGAGTACTTAGAGTTGAATTTTTCGTGTATTTTCTGAAATATGAAATTAAGTGCTATTAACACAGTCTTAAGAAGTGTTTTTAAGAGGTGTGCATGTGTGTGCGTGCATGTGTGTGTGTCCGTGTTCTGTACTTACCCAATAATTTGGTAGCATTCAGCATACCAATTTATATACTTACTTATTCTTGGCAGTCATCTTGTATTCTGCACAGGATTGTTGAACTGGTCTAAGGAATAAAATCAACCCTCTTTCATTTGCCCCTATAGGAAAATTTAACTTATTGTTTCTTACGTACCTTCAATATGTTCTTATGTGATTCTGTTTTTTTTAAGAATACGAGTATAGTATAATGAATTACTGTAATATTAATAGAGAGAGGAAAATTCAATACTTTACTGTTTTTCTGACAAAAAAAAAAAAACAACTACAACACAACACCATAACTTTAAGCATTTTGTTAAAATGATTGTTCATACTTTTGGTGCTAACTTAATACTCCTTTGGAAAACTATACTCTTTTTATGGTGCAAAAGGATAGTTATGCTCCACTGAGTGTCATTGGCTAGTATAAGTTTGTTTCATACATATAACATTAATTTGTTGAAAATGCAGACTTTAAAATAGTGGCATATGTTGTCAGTATAGTTCTCATTAGATTATTTGTAGGAATGTTTAGCGTTAGCAGTTGTTAAATGATAGAATTAATATCAATGTAATATTTGTTGTTGTCTGTGGTAAACAGAATTCCCGGGAATAAAAAAAATTACTTCACTGAATTCTCTAAATATCAACCTTACGTAGGATGCGTATTTATGCAGCAGATACAGACTTTGTGGCCGGACGTCATACTATTGGCTAATAGTTTGAACCTCCCCCTTTATTCCGATGGTTATCCATGTTCTAGGCTGTGTTCCCTGTATTTTTTAGACTAATGTGTCTTAAATATTATATTCAGTAAATTAGCATTAAAGTCAACATCCCAATTTTTGTAATGTTCCAAGACTGAACATTTCTTTTTTTTTATTAAATGTTGAAATATACAAGTCATTATGCTGTGTATTGCTGACTAAAAATATTGCTGAAGTGTAAAGGAGAAAAATCTAATTTTATATTGGCATAGAAAGAAAGCTTAACTTGTTTTCTTGCTCTTTTTTTATAGAGAACACCTGTTCCCAGCGCTGAAGCATTCCGATGGTTCTTTTAAAGCAGTAGTATATCTTATTTTCAAGGCATTTGGAAGTGAAGGGCAAACTAATGTCTTGTTTTAAGAAACTGCTTAGTCCACCACTGAAGAAAATATCCAGATATTATTTTCATTTTATGTATAGGGGTTTCTTCCAAAAAAAAAAAAAAAAAAGGAAAAGAAAAGAAAAAAGACATATAAAAATAATCTGGGAGCTTGGGGAATTGGCCAGTCTATTTACTTTCAATACACTGATTCTTTCTTTGATGTAATTTAGCTATACTAGTGAAGTTGTTGTCTATTTTGAAAGTGGCTGTAAAAAATAAGTTTGGGTAAACCCCTGCTGTAAAATCATGTATCTTTGCAAAGTACATATCTATACTTCATTTTCAAATATATGTGTTTCAGTACTGTAAACTGTACAGATAGCAGCTTGTATTTTGTGTGTTTAGACACAAGGAGACAATCATGTCTGAGCATCTATGGAGATTAACAGTTTGTACACAACAGTATGGTTCTGCGAGTTAAATCTGGAGCAATAAATTTTAGCTTTAAATATTTTTTGCCAGTTGTTTCTAGAAGCAGCAACAGCAGTGGCATGTTTTGCCATGCATCTTTCCGTAGAGACTTGATGCCAAGTTTTACAAGACTAAAAGATTATGATGCATCCAGCAATTACCTTCAGTTGTGTTGTTATAAGAGGGGAAGATGTTATGAAAGTTTCAATTAATCTTTTGAGCACTATATTAGAGTAGTGGTTATGCACTTGCATTGCTTACAAATGAGCTGTACAGAAGGGTATACCTCCCAAATACTTAGTGTAGTTGACTTGTCTTGGGTTGCACTGTAAGGCGGAGTACTCAGAGTAGTTGGAACATGCAGAATCAGTTGTATAAATTTAAAAAGAAAAAAAAAAAAACAGTGTTTTCTAGGATACAGAGAAAAGTATCATATCTTAGGGGGAGAAATTCATGATGGACTTTTTTTTCTCAGCCCAACATGGGGTGTATGTATTTTTTGTTGTTGTTGTTCGTATTTTGTTCTTTTTTTTTTTTTTTCTTGGTAGGAAAAAGAAACACTTAATAAAATGTACCCAAGTGTTTTAATTCCATGTATGATATGAAATGGGTAGTTTGTTTTAAAATTTGAATACATAAAGACTTCTTGCATTGAGGCATGACTACATATATTTTTTAAGTTAAAAAAATTGAACACATTCATAAAAGTGAGGCTTTTAAATTTCTTTTTATCTTCCTTTCCCATAGCCTCCCAGGTGGACCAATGGCCTTCCCCGAGTCCCTCAGTGGAATGTTCCATTGCTCCCATTCCCATTTTTGTCACTTAATGCTTTCATTCCTGAGCAGCCAGGTCCACATTCTGTGGAATTCCATAAGTGCAAACAGCCCCAAACACAAAGGAGCTAATGCTTCATAGGATCTGTGCTGCCCTTTCACGTAGGATTTGGTGTTCTTATGGCCGTCAAGGTTCCTGAGGCTGTCCCCATAGGACAGATATTATTTGTGATGCCATGATATCTAGGAAGTTTTTTCATTTTCTTTTTCTTGCCAGATTATAAAGACAGTTTTCATCTTGAGGAATAAAATAGAATTGAGTAAAAATACATGGAACATTGAAGTTGCCATGTTACTGTAACTTTTGTTCTTTATCCACCAGCCCACTATTTTAGCCTGTGACAGCCACTAGTCTGCTGAAAAATGTTAGCAAGATGGATCATGCAAAGAAAAATAACTTGAGAAGAGAAAGGGTGAAAAAGGGCTGTAAAGTTTTAGAAAGACTAGCAGATTAATAATTTTGAAAGGCTAGTTGTAGTTGTGAATGGGAAATAATATGACAGGAGATTTTAAGAAAACCAGAAGAAAGCACTTCATCATCAGAGTCTGGGAGGGGAGGGTGGAGAAGTTACCTGCAAACGCCAGTGTGAAAAGCAAGTGACTGAACCTGGCTAGAGGGGGATCGCAAGGCCTCCAGTTTCAGTCAAATGGGCTTTTTAAGGAAAACTTATTTCATGTTTTACACCTGTCCCTGTTTCAAGAAGATCATTAAATCATCATAAGCTAAAATGTGCTGTATGTTTATTCTGACATAGCTTTCTGCTTGATGTATATTCCTTTGAGGGTTTCTAGTTAGAATTTCTGTTTCTGCTATGGGACCAATAACAACTATATGAGTTCTTTCTCATCCACTTTTATTTGATTTTACTTATATTTTTAAGCCAGTGTGCTAACTAATTACAAGTAAGTGAAAACTTACTTTTACACTTGAATGGTAAGTTTGCCTTGCTTTTTGGAAAATGGTGATTGTTACGACAGAATTGAAGCAAACGTCTGTTCAGGCTGCATTAGGCATACAGTAACATGTAAAGATCTCATGACAATGTATTGAGAGTCTAAAATACATGCTAAGTATTGCATGTCTTGATGTGTTTTTGTTTTCTTAAAAAACTAATGAATCTGTATATTGTAAAATGTGTTGTTTTACATGTCAATTCAGTTTTTTAATGAAAGAAAATCTGTTGATTGAAATGGAAAAGTGCAGCTTTTCTTTAATTCTCTTACATGTTTTTATTCTTGATATTGTTCTTTTACACCACCCCTTTTTTATGTTTTTGGTAAAACTCTGTTTATATAATGTAGGGTACATAAAAAGTTCTCGTTGGTGATGTTGAAAAAAGATGTTACTCTTCTGTCCTCCTTTTGGTTCTCTTCTCCGTAAGTCCATATACTGAGAACTTGTAAAGCATATCATTATAACCCCGAGGGAGTGATTTCAAGGTTTACAATTTCCACGATTCTAAAATGCCAATGAATGTAACTTTTGAAAATTGTTCACTGTACATTTTATATTCAGACCAAGAAAATTCAGAAGATAGCAATCAGAATATAGATTGTGGCGGACTGTACAATTTAAAAATTACGTATCAGAGAAGTCAAATTAAAAGCTTTTTAAGAGAGGTTCAAACATGCACAGGACTCTTACCTTCTCTAGGTGTAGACAAGGAGATGCCACATTCTGTCAGCAGTTGGGGAGAGCTGGAAAGTATGCAGGGTGTTGGTATGAAGAGCAATGAACCATTTTTCTTGTCAGCTGTCACTCAGCACCCAAACATTATAAGAACCTCATAATGCAAACCTCCCTCTTTCCAGGCCTTCAGACCAAAGTGGCTTTCTGATGGATTTTGCCCACCTGTGTACAAGCAGAGACATTTTTGCAAATGAGAAACATATCTATCCTTAGGAGAGAACACAGTGAAAGTCTTTCTCCAGTGTAAGAGTATATAAAAATATCTCTGGTTGCTTAATCCCCAACACCCAACTTCCAACTTCTAAACACATTTATAGGGAGCAAGAGATGGTGGGCTTCCCATGAATTAGTGTGAAGCAATCACTAACAGAAAAGAATATTCCCTTCCTTTCATTTAGAACGCCTGGCCTGTAAGTTGTACAATTAATGCTAAAGCATATAAAGTCTTTAAGCTGATAGTATCTGTAATCAAATAATGAAAAAAAGGCAAGCAGTTAAATGAGCACACTATTCAGGGTCAAACGTGTTCAGCAAAAAGCTGTAGTGGGTCTTTGATCATGGTTAGATTCACAGTGATATCAAACAGTTGGTTCTCATGTAACAGCTAAATGTTTCAGATTTTGTTTTTATTAAATTTGGCAGTTTCACACTGAGATCTGTATTCCTAGTGAATAAAAGACAGCTACCATGTGAGGAGGGATTCCATTTTCACAATGGCAAGGAAGTCAGATATTTCAGGAACATGGGACACAAAATGTACTCCTTTCACAGCGTTCTCCTATTCTGAACTGTGCAGTCATCTATTAAATTTTCTAATAGATATTTGTGTAAGGTGTATGTATGCTTGTGCAATTATTAAAAAAAAGCAGTTTTGGAAAACAGTGTATTTATTAAAGAAAATTACTTATGGGGCATGTACAAAACTGTAAAAAAAAAAAAAAAAACTAAAAAAAAAAACCACATTCAATTTGCCCAGTAAAGTTGTTTTTGTGAAATTTCTGTGTTGTTGAATAAAGGACTTTAGTATTCAAAATATCTCTATTTTTCCATGAAGAAATTTTTATTTGTGGGAATTGAAGTAATGAACATATGATCCTGAAAATCTAATTTTGTTTATGATAAAAAAGTTTATAATTCTACACTTGCCCTTATGTCAGCAGAATGAATACTGTATATAAATCTTTCATAAAATATGCCAGTTTTGTTCATTTTGTTTTTCCTCATAGATTTTGTCTTTCTCATATATTTAAAGAAAAGGAAAAAAGAAGAACATGGTTCTTTTCACATTTCTAAAGGATATATTCTTTGTTGAAAGCTTTAAAAAGTCATCTAAATAGAGGAAGAAATGAATGTATCCAAACTTTTCTCCATCCTAAGTGTGCCAGGAGAAAGCATCCCACTGTGCCATGAATGAAACTTCCGGTGGTAATGCTTGAAAGACTTCAAGTGCCTGAAGAAATGCGCAACACTGGAATTCTGTCTTCAGCCCCTCCCAGCAATACTCTGAGATTAAATTTTTATTGTGCTACTCTTTTTATTATGGAATACTGTGTTCCAACCATGCTGCTTATTATTTGGTGGTGAATGTGCTTAACCCTTACTTACTTCACTGCTTCTCAGAGCAAGGCTCTCATTTTTTTTTTTTTTTGATGCTTCATAACCTACAAAAAATGTAGAACACAATTTTGTATATTGGAAATCTTAAACAAGATTACAAACCTGGAACTTCAAACAATTGAAAGAGTCCATATCCACAGAAAAACGTACCACATCAGAAGATTTTTATACATTTTAGAAATTTCAGGATGTGTTCTCTTAGTATAATATCACAAATATAAAATGTCTTGGCCATGACAACAGAATTAGATTATATAGTCTGAGAAAGAAGAATTAGGTAACTTGAATTATGGAGTTCCTGGATCCTCAGCAATTTTTTCAGGTGAGTTGCTGTGTTTCTTTATTACATTGTGGTATAAGCAACAGTAGGGTAAAAATATAGAATTGGATTTTCATGGAAAATAGCTTCCTATTTCTACTTGAAATCTTTAAGGATACCAATACTTGGAGTTTCATCTGTAACGATAAGAGAATAATTCAAAGTAGTTTGAACCAAGGAGGGAGAGGGGAGGAGTTATATACCTTATTTAGACTTTGAGCCCGATAATTTCATTTGGTTTCTGCAAAAATCATGTATTTTTTCAACTTGTTTATTGGTAAAAGTTTTTATTTGCATGTTTTATACAGAAGTTCTTCTCCATTTTATTTCTACTCTTGTCTTTATTTTGTCTCTTTTAAGTGGTGAAAAAATGTTGTTTGAAGTAAACACAATGAACACAAATTTAAAAATATTTGCATACACTACATAAGTAGAATAGTTACCTAAGAAATTTATTCTTGGAAGTTTTATTTCTAATCTTCTAATATCTTGGCTTAAGATCTGTCTTGTCTCCTTTGCAATTCAGTTTTTGGGCCAATTTTTGAGGCAATATTTCTTATTTTTAAGGTATACATATATTTAAATGTCAACCAAACTATCTAAAAAGATATCTAAGTCAATGCTTTCTTTATGATGTGTTACTTATGACAAAAATCACTCCAGTTAACAGGTGTTATAATTTCACAAATTAGAAGCAGTGTTCAGGCCTCTTTCCAAGAAGAGTACTTTTAAAAAACTACTCTTAATCCTGTATAAATCCTGTATGTAAAGCATTTTTAATACAGGACAGAATTACATGACCTCTTCAGGAGTTAGATGGTAGGAGAATCTGATTGGTTTGAATTATGATCTTCTGCTTATGACTTTTCTAAAAAGTGATCTTCTATCTAAAATTCTATGGCTTCAGAAAAACTGCACAAGTGGAAGGGAGGGTAGAAAAGCATACAGTTAAATGATACAGTTTTACTTTTGATACCGTCATAAAACACATGTAGCTGAAAATTCATACCCATTGTATCCTTCAAGAA